ACATATGGATGACCGTCTAGTAGATTTGCATGTCAACCTATGGCAACACCTTTAGGTGAAAAGAGGAAGGAAGAATTAAACTGGGAGGAGCAACCATTGTTTGAAGAAGGATATCTGGAGTTAAGTCTATGAGTTTGGTGGAGAGAAAATGAGCTGGCAAGCATGTCTGGAGCAAGGAAGAGGGCTGCTGAAGTTGGAAGCGAGCATTTGGAGAAGATGATTTTCGGGGAGTTGTTTGAATTTTTGGGATTTTATCTTCCTAAAATTACAATTGATGAAGCAGAGGAGATGATAAACGAGATGAGGCAAACAACAGAAAGATTGCGTGGATTTATGTAACAGCAGAAGAATGCCGCCTCCTGATAGTGTGATGTGGCAACAGACTTAAAAAAACGGCCGACGTCACTGCCAGATTCGTTGGTAAACTTTTGAACCACTCCCTTTCTCTCTCTGAGCAGCGAGTTTTGACTATTCTGCGCTGCAAAGATTTCTTTTGCTGTGTTATGTAGTTTATAATGTGTTAATGATATATAGTGATCAAAGAATTGTAGAATAATAATCTACTGAACTTGCTTGCTACTGCTCTATGAATGTTCATGCTAAATTTTTCTGTATATTGGGAGTTGTATTTTCGAATAATTAACAGTCTACTAGATTTTGGTGTTGCTATATGTATGATTATTTTGGTTTTGGGTTAGATCGGGTCTTTCCAAACTGATGCTAAGTGCTAACTAATGACGTGCATTGAATACAGTAACAAGCAGTGAGCTGCCAAGGGGAAGAATAGTTTGTTTGATGCGGTATAGAGAGTTGGTCGTTTCACAAAGCCTATGTATTATCCCATCTTATGCATTCCCATTATCATTTTGTTTGGTAGAAGTTATTAGTATGTTTGGCATCATGTTTGATACTATTTGAAACTCATTCTTGGTTTGGTCTGATTTTTTTATTATCAATGAAACATCCTTCCATTTTATTCGATGTTAGCATCCTTCGATAGAAACACGCTGAGTTGGGCTTCTCTTTTCGAGTTGTTTCTGTAATGAAATGTTCTCCTCAAGAGAATACACAAGTCTAGCGCTAGAACTATTCTTTTATTTTTTTAATTATTCTTAATTAAAAATTTAAATTATTTTATAATCGTGGCATCCAACTGATAATAACCTTTCTGCACGCACTTTTCATTTTGGGAAAACCTGAATCTTAGCCCAGACAAATACATACTCCGATACAGTCACTAGTTCTGTAAGATCTGCTTGCTTGCGCTTTGATTTTACTTAGAGTCTTAGAGTCAAAGTAGAGAAAATGATTTGTGTTTGTATGAAATCAACATATTACTTCGTCCATCCCAAAACACAGTTGTTGTTGTTGGGATAGTAAAAGGTGCCCTAAATTAACTGGTTATTTAGCAATTATGTATTATAGGTTTAGTTCTTTGTTGTCATATAAATTGACTCTATTTTATTAGTTGTCATATAAGTTAAATACTCGATTTAAGGTGATGGACGTATGAGACTATCTTTTTGGGACATTTTATAATTTAAATAGATATGTGAATTATCTTTCTGAGATGGAGAAGGTATTAAGCTAAGGCAAATTGTGAAAACATGGTTCATCTTTTTGTATAAGATGGATAATTAATGTTTTCTTATATTTGTTTTTGCTGTAAAGGGAGATGTAATGAAAGTTAGCATGAGTGATTATGCAGTATGAGTGAGTAGGAAATTCAGTTGTCTAAGGCATCATATGTGTATGAATTAGTAGTTCTTGATTTTAAATCCACGATGAGTAATCCATCCTACTTGTTTGGTTACAAGTTACAATCTGACATTTAAGGTCTTACATTGAGATATCTTTACCATAGGCAAATTTCAAATTCGTCTTTATAGAGTCTTATAAAATCCTTTTTCTGGATCCTTCCCTCGAATCCTAATCCTCCCATCTATTTCAATATAAGCGTCCAGATTTTTTTAGCTCACCATATGGTAGAGATTGAAAGTAGCAAGAACCATCGCCATCGGATTTTGCTTAGTATCTTTTCACAAGCATTTATTGTTGGTTTAATAGAGGTGAAATTGCCATTTTTAGGTTCGTGGCGCGCAACCTTTTTTGTTGATTTTCTTTGCGGCACAGTGAGATACAGACAAGTTCAAGTTATTTTAACCCTCCCCTAATTCAAGTAACAGGTCACAAGAATTGGAGTTGTATTTAAACATTTATTTGAGTATAAAGCCAAGACACAAAGAAACAACAAAATATTCATCAGCACTTACTTTCTTTAGAATGACTTGGTTAGGCATACTTCTTTACCTTTGGTTTTATATCGCATATAGGGATTGACTAATGGGTGGAAAAGGATTATTTAAATTAATGCCGTGTCATGAGTTCTTTACTTGGGTAGCAAGTACTATAGAGAGTTTGTAGAATTTGAATGTCTTTCGTTGATGATTTTGCTTAGCTGATGTAATTATTTTTTTTTTACTAGGGTACACTTTAATTTTTCGTGGACATGTTTAGACCTGATAAAGTTGCTTTGACCCAAACGCACAAAATGTGATGTATCTTTAATTGTCTTTTTAATGGAGATGGTGTATCACAGTAAACCATATCATAATGGGAGTTGAGAGGCATGCCTCATCCTGCTATTTTATTTTATTTTTCCAAAATGATGAGAATTATTCCCATGATCTTGTGACCTAGTATTTTTGGATAGTTGGTGTTCCCATTTCATTCTATATTTGGACGATTAAGTTTGTGCTATCATATATTTATTTATATGATATATAAATATGCACCTATGTCTTTGCTTTGTACTAGTAAAACTCTAGCTGATTATTCTTAAAGCATTATTTACGTTGGTTAGTTCGAACTTTATATATAAGCTATGTGTAATGTATATTTATGCATGCATGTCTACAAGATATATGATACGGTACAATTGCCCCAAATTATATTAATTATTAATATTAATAAAGGTGCTGAATTATTGTTTATAAAATATTTTCTAATGTATCAAAGTTGCCCCAATATATTGTTTTTCTTCATAAATTTGAAGATAAAAATATTCTACACCATTTTTTTATTCGCATAACTTGTACTTTAACAACAAAATTTGTGTGTATTCGTCTAATTTAGAAATTGTTATAATGTTTTGACTAATAAAAGTAACTCTCAAATTTATCTTCCATTTATTGTATTCTAAATATTGTTGTCACATTTTTGTTACATATGTTTATTGTATTTTTCTTTTCTTTTCTTTTCTATCTCTCCTCACGTCCCTATCTATTAAAAAAGTTGATACAAACAACAACAAGCCAAGCCGTTAAAATTCCACTAAGTGGGGTCGGCTATATGGATCGCATGTCGCCATTGTGCTCGATCAAAACACATATCCTCATTGAAATTTAAATATTTTAAATCCTTTTTTAGTGTTTCCTTCCAAGTTTTCTTAGGTCTACCGCTCCCCTTTTAATTTGCATTCTTATTTCTAATGTTTCTACCCTTCTCATCGCAGACTCGAAGTCTCTTTTACGCACATGCCCAAACCACCTTAATTTTGATTCTCTCATTTTCTCTTCTATGGGCGCTATCCCAACTTTATTTCTAATATGTTCAGTTCTAATCTTATCTAACCTAGTGCGCCTACACATTCATCTCATTCCACTCGCATTTTATAATCAATTTCATATGTAGTAGCCCAACACTCGGATCTTATTTGATATTCATAATTACTTCTATCCATAGAATCTTATATGATATCTTTGCCAGATTGTTCGATATTTGAAATTTAATCACATTTTAGTTGAACGGTAGGATAAAATCAAATCATATAGTTCATATTATTGCAATTTATCACCTATATATTTGCTTCTGTGTTTGCACCATCATTCTTCCCCTACTAGTGGCCGTCACCATCCCACCCCTATCAACAGTTACCCTACACATTGTGTCATCCTCGACACTCCTCTTCCTATATCATTTTAATATAAAATAGGAAGCGTAAAGGTAATATATAATAGCTGAACCAATTACAGGTAAGAATGAGCCTCATTATAAATAAGGGAGGATCATCATTAAAAATGGTATTGAACTAGTGGAATTATGATCTATCTTTTTATGTACCTCTCTTTTTCAGTGTTTTTTGGATCTGTCTTCTCTGTTTGTTGGTTAATAGTGTGAGGGAAATTAAGGTGACGATTGGATACCAGAATCTTCAGCTTTTGTATGGTCAGTCAAGATTTATCTTATTAAAACATGAAATGAACAATAAATTTAGAGAAATACTATTCATTCCATCTCATCTTTATCACAAAATAAAAAATAAAGAGTAATTATTATTAGTATCCAGCAAAAAAGACTATCATCTGTTCACATACTTGTTCACATATTTCTAACTACCATCGTTATCATTTCATCAATTAAAATTTTGTTATTGTTTTGTCACATAAACTATAATCACTACATTTTTTTTTATCTTATATCCACTTACAATCTCAAATCTATCCCACATTTTTCTAAAAACAACCTTTCACATTTCCATCTCTATTTCAAACGGGAGACGTTTGTTTTTCAAAAATTCTTATATCCAATCGTGTCATGACTCCAGTCGCAACCTAGATGCCTGGGCTGAAGGTTGGAGGTTGGGAAGAGAGAGAAAGAGGTAGGGGTGGGGAAGTGTGTACGGGATAGGAATGTGACTAAGGCAAAACAAATTTTCGAGAGAAAAGTTTGGATATTTCGATTTTTTTATCATTGCCTATCATTTGTTGAAGACATGTTTTGAGAAATCTTGAGAATTATATCTGAAGCAAGAAACTCGTATTTTTCATTTTCTTTTTACCGAGAACAAACTTGGCAATGTGTAAACATAGTTTCGTTGTCTTGGTTTACCTGTTTTTCAGAAGTCGTGGGAAGCAGAAGAAGAAAGTGATGAGCTCATGTTAGAAAACAGGTGGTTGACTACGACAAACGATCTTTTAAGGCAAGAGAATGATGACTTGCAGCAAAAGGTCAACCAATTAATAAGTGAGAACGAGCATTTGCGGAATCAAATATTGGACGTATGTTTACATCACTCCTAATTGATTACTGTCTTTCTTGGAAGGTTTATCTATCATTATCAGGTCTTGGTTTGAGTTATAGAATATATTCCTTTCATGACTACTTTATTATTTGATCCGGTAAGCATATCGTAGTTTATGTGGATACATCACGATTGTTGCATGGTTCTTGTAACTTCATAAACATGTGATATTTACATCAACATGTGTCTGCCAAACATGATACTATTTGTCTTTTGGGATTTTACAAAAAATATCATTTATGATAATAGACTAATTTTACAGAACGAGCCCATTTTTTTTTTCAACCACACCAAATTCAGTCTATATTAAAGTTTACATTATCTTTGTTTAATGTAATGTCCATTTTTCCAATATTGTTTTACTTATGATTTTCACAATTTTACAGAATGAACCTAGGCTAACTTATATTTTATTTCATCCACTCCAATTTCAGCCTATTTTTACTAAGTTAACTGTCTTTAACTTTCTCCAAAACCCAATTCCAATTTTGCCTTGCTTATAATTTTACTAATTTATTTTTTTCAAATATTTGAATATGATAAAAATAACATCTATAACATTATGTAATTTTCTCTTCCTAATTATTTTGATGGTTATCATAATAAACATTAAAATTTATTTTGTATGTGGGGACCAAATCATTCTGAAGTCTGAACTGCGACCTTATGAGTTGGAATTTTTTTAATATAGCTTTACTAGGGTGAAAATGTATCACTTGTACCAACTAACTTATACTTGTTTAAGAGATTTGTTATTCTAGGATTCTTATCATGTTGAACCTGTGAGGTATATAATTGATGGGTACACACACTGAACAGATAGATGTCTTGAACGCCACCTGTTCTTGGTAGTTTGTAGGTTGACATAAGTAGCAAAACCTTGTTCTCAAAGATATACAACGTCCCTTATAAGATATAATCCTTTTAATATTTGCAGACCAGATTGCTTCGTTCGTGACATAATTTATGTGGGAATGAATGATTGTTATTTTTTGGCATACTGAAAGTGATTTGTTTCTGCGGCCGTAATTGGGAAACCTATTTTGATAGATAAACTCATGAGTTAAATTTATTAATGCAGTTAACTACGCATATTACCACCTTTGACTTGGACCAACTGCTTGAAGCGTATCACGCTGAGATGGGCAGTAGCAGTACGCCAGCTGAGAACAGTGGCGGGTATTGTTAAGCAGGGGAATTAAATAAAGTTCATTTAACAATGCATAATTGCATATCATGCTAATGCTTTATATTTATCTATCATATAGCGTTTTCTCACTGGCTGTGGAAATCAGGAATGAATTCCTAGCTAAAGCTATTGGAACTTCTATTATTTGGACCCCTGCTTCGGGGCTGAAGGTTGTGACGGTCGCTTTTTACAGGGAGTTGTTTTCGAGTCTTTGAATCTTCTCACTTTTGTTGATCCTTTTAATCTTTTGGCTTGTCAGCTTGACAGTGCAGGTGTATACGGTACTGTATACACCCCTTCTACTTGCGTTGGAGTGGCAGCTAGGGCACGTGCTTCTATAGCAGTTGACCCTTTTCAGGCAAGCTCTATAATTATCTTCCTGCAGCATGCTATTACAGTTCTATGCACAGGATAATTCTATATCTTTAAATGATTTCTGCTTCCCTCTCTTTCACACAATATCTGATGTGTAGACCGCGAGGTGGGGTGGAATCTTAATTTTTATTTTAGATATCTACAAGTAATTTTTTTTAGTAAATTTTTGTATGGAATTTAAGAGTGAAGGTATGTTTTTATAGAAAACTAAAGTATTTCTTATCACATCGAAACTCTTTGTTTTGTATCTCGTTTTCTTCTAGCAAGTTTTTCTTGAAAAAATGCTGTATCCATTGTTTATACTAATTTGATACAGTGCGGATGGCGGTTTGCCAAAATTCCACCATAGCCGTGGCAGCCTATGGCGCCGTCATAACCGCCATAACCGCCATCCTCCGCAAATTTAGCATGGTGGATTGTCAAAAATCAACCATGCCATACCGGCATGGCCGCCATTTAATAACACTAGGAGTATTTATGGAAACAAAAATTATCATGTGTTGATTATGAAATCAATTGAAAGATGTGCTAACAAATTATTTTCTGTTCCTGCATATTGAGACACCTGAAAGAAAATAAAGCTCAAAATATGCAAAATATGAAAGAAGATTGTAGTGGTGTTTTCGTGGAAAATTAAGATTTGTATATAATGTCTTTTACTTTGTGTTTTATGTTTGACATTTCTCTTCTTTTATTCGGTCTCGATTACTTTTGTTGCGATAAACTTTGACCTTCTCTCACTTCAATTTATGGGTTTGTCCCTACTTTCACATATATGCAATTGATGTATTGTGAGAGTCCTTGCCAACTAAGCAAGAACGATAAACACTAGAATGGTCATTTCAAGTCAAGTTATATATTTAATTCTTTATGCTAATGTGAACATGTTATACATTGCTCCCATTTTGATTAGCTTACCTAGGAAAACCAGCAATCAGTTCAACTTTAATTTACAGATGGCTTGAATGTAATCCCTATACATATCATGCAGACAGTTGAAATGCTCAAGGACCGGCCTTCCTGGTCACGATTTTGTCGTGGTATGGATGTTATTGCCAAGCATCACACAAATGAGGGAATTATTGAGTTGATCTACACCAAGGTGGGTGAAGTAGAAAGTTTCACATTTGCAGATGATGATTTTTCTTCTGAAACTTCCCTTGCTTCTATTAGTTTCTTCATGTTAATATTTTTTGTCCAATTTCCTGCAGTACTATGCCCCGACTACCATGGCTTTGGCTCGATATTTCTGGACATTAAGATACACTTCTATTCTAGATGATGGAAGCTTGGTGGTACGATTATCTTTTCTATTATTTAGATGAAAAATGTGACATTGAATGATTGAAATGACTGATTGGCCAGTAAATTTGCTGGCATTCAGTTTGTAGCTTTTGCAGGTCTATTATTCTATCTGTTTGAACGTATATGACACACGTAACCTCACTGATTGGGGGAAAGGACAACTCTTTATTTAATCTGTCGAAATGGATAAGGTTTCCTGTTAATATATATTTCAATCTCTTCTACTTTTGTTTAGGTATGTGAGAAATCAATTTCTGGTTCTGATGCTGGTGTAAATTCTCCTTCTGCCCTTGAATTTGTGAGAGGGAGGATGCTGGCTAGTGGTTTTATGATTTGCCCTGGTCAGGGGGGATCAACCATACATATTGTTGAGCACTATGATATGGAGGTACTATCCTTCCTCTGCTGCACAGGCTGCATGCAACTATATACTTGACCCTTTGAGGGAGAAATTGAGTTACAGAAAAACTTGTTTCAGGCATCATCTGTTCCATTGGTGGTGCGCCCGCTTTACGAGTCATCTGAACTTCTTGGGAAGAAGACAATTGTTCCTGTAAGTAGATTATCTAGTGTGAACTGCCCGGTTGTGTTTTAATGTAGCTTCTGTTAGTTTAAGCTAGAATCTCTGGATCTTTAAATGACTTCTGTCCAAGGGGGTAAGTCACTTCCATATTAGATCTTGTAAAGTCCAAAGAGATGTGCATTGATTCCGGGATTTTTCTTCAATATTTATTTTAGAAAAGGACTCCAGTTGACCTTTTCAATTCTCTGTGTATATATGCATGTGTGTGTGTGTGTGTGTGGTTGTTGTGAGAATAAAATCCTAGTGTAAGAAATAGGAGTAAATCTCAACCACTAGATGTGATGATCGGATGGTCCGTAAAGTAAGGACAAAATGATCAAATCATAGGAGAAAATCTTGAATCCTAAGAAATCTGCCGCCTGAGAAATCTATTGTCTTATTCTGTAATTCACTTATAGTTTAAGTGTCTTAGTGCTTTTTAGCAGAAATACATTATAAGCGATTATGAATTTCACTTGAGAAAAGGTGTTATTTTCAGCAGTTGAGTGCCCTTTGCAGAATTTTACTGCTAGATTTTATCAGGAAATATGATTAACTCGCTATATTTTTTAATCTGAAACAAATAACAAATAACTGACATACGGTCCTCTAAATATTTGAGTTTTTCTTTAAAAAATGTAATTTAAGAGTTTGTAAAGGTGAATGTGAATGGAAACGTCACCCATGCAAGATTCATGGTTTTGTTTTTTTTTGTCGAACACGATCAATTTCCAATTTATGGTGTTCTCTACAAGCAATATACTGCTCTTAGTGCTATGTGTTTTTGTGGTCTTCAGTAAGGATTGTATTTTGACGCGCATATTGACATGTATGGTTCAAATCTAGTAGTATTTCCTACATTAGGATCCTTTCATATAGAAACCCACAAATGGCTCTGTGTCACATTTTTCTGGAAGAGTTGACCAACTACCTGATCATACATATCTCTCTTGATGCATTCTATGTATTGTCATTAGTAAGTTCTATATGAGTAGAATGATCTAGAATTTGTTGAAGAGTTGAAGCTATTACACCCAAAAAAAATATGATTAGTGCTTGGTACCCCATAATTGATTTTGATCCAATAAGAAATGCTAATGATTTTCCTTGATACCGATAAACTGCTTGTGGATATGTAGTTGTGTCTATACATAAGAAATCTACCTCTTTAGGATAATTAATTTTTATTATATTGCTCTCGAAGAGGATATATATTTCGGCGATCTATCTATTTTTTTTATGAGGTTCAGGCTGTTCAGTCTTAGCCTTTCTTAATTGGTTCAGACTGGCCTCCAAAATGAGAAATATTTCAGGAGTAAAAATGTTCTATAAAAGCATTGATAAAAATTAAGAAAAAAATTAAAAACATATCTAAGTTCTAATATATATTCTAAACCATTTTTTTATTGTATCTGATTGAATCAGTATTACCTATGTGTTCCCTCCTCCATGACAAAATGTCAGATTTTTTAGGTTAGTTGGAAATTTCATTTGTCAAACATCCAAATAGCGTATATATTTCACAATTAAGAAGTACCATCTTTAATTCGTTGCCTAGTATATTCAAATTTTGGTTTCACAAACACTGTTAAAATGCCCTTTGTTCATGGATTTATTAGAATTTGCAGTTCTTTTACGAGTGTAATATTGGACAAGTTGATTTTTCTATACATAGGCACTTCTCTATATTGAGCATATGGCCAGTGAGACGAGTGGCATACCAAGACCTTTTTGCCATGAGAATCATGTTCTTTTGAGATGTTTATGCCTAAAACTTTCTAGGTAAGATGTATAATCTACATCTCAATTCATTCTATTTCCAAGTCATTTATTGTTGTTGCATCTTAGACACCTACTCCCACTTTATCACTATGAAATGATGTTCTTGACATCATTATTTTGTTCCAAATTATTATGATTCATTTTCTTCGAATCTACCTACATATCAAAGAAAGTAAGAAGGAAAGAGAAACTAAATTGAGAATTACTAATAGCAAGAGAGAGAACAACAAATGAGAAGATGAAGAATAAATACTACGAATGAATGAGAAGAAAAAAAAGGGATTGGTGACAGAGAATTACACATGGTTGTATTGGTCCACTTCACACCATTGTTAATATAAGATTAAAATGCGCCATTTAATGACCGAGGGTGTGCCTATTTTATATTGTCCACGCATTCATTATTTTACTGCAAATGGAGCATTAGAATGATTATTATGCAATTTTAATATTACTAAATACCTCTTGTCTGTGTTTATGTAGGGGCTTCAATGATGCTGTCAATTGTTTCTCTGAAGATGGATGGACAATGATGAGTGCTAATTCTTCTGATGATGTTGTTATGTCCACCAAGAGTGCCACTAATCTCGGAGTCTATGCAAATTGTGATAGTATACTTTGTTTGAAAGCCTCTGTGCTGCTTCCAGTGAGTCATACTATTTCATATCGATAGTAAAATCTTGATCCTGCATCATGGTCTAGAAACCATGTTATTAGAGAATATGTAATACTTGAGTTTACTTTGTGAAGTTGTACTCAGCAACTTTCATCAAGCATTTTTGGCACTATCCTTGTAACTTCTTTTCTGTTTTCCCCCTTTTGGGAAATTGTTTGTTGGTGACAGAATGTTTATCCTGTAAGCTTGGTGAAGCTTCTGACGGAGTGTCGTTCGGCTTGGATGGGTTTCAACTTCAATGAACATATGGTAGCTTCAAGACCTGCTTCTTATGCATTTCCAGGACATGATATTTATCATGTGTCTGAATTTTCTTCACTGCTTTGCCAAATCAATAATGAGGATGAGGTTCGTTGAGCTTAATGGTGCTGAGATATCTTTATCACATGAATTTTAGCAGTCTATTTCGTGAATATCTTGTTCAAATTCCCATGTCAGGCGCTGGAAATAATTCGTTTGGACTGCGCTGACCGCCAGCGAAATTACTATTCAGTGGATTTTAATCATTTGCAGGTAATTCATGACAGATACATTTTGTTACTAATACATATAGAAAAAATATCTTGTTGATAGAAGGAAATCCAAATTTTTTCCATGAAGTCAGAAATATTAAAGCACAAAAATACCATAGGAATCAAGTAGATTTTTCTGATCTCGTTTATTCTAACAAATAGTCTTGTATAATTATATATGCATGATATTTTCCTCAGAACCTAAGTTCTGTTTAACACATTGTCGAAAATTTTCTCACTCGTATAATATCTATCAAAAGAAAAATATGCACCACGAAAGGTGCAAAACTGGTTAAGCTTTCTTTTTTCGCATCACTGTTAGTTACAGTTTCATTCAAATCTGAGAGAATGTCCATAACCTATTCTGCATTCTTTTTGGGGTTCTTTTTCACTCTTCTCTTGCCTCTTAAAAGAATTGGGGAACAAGGACTAAGAGTTTCTAGATGAGTGTCAAGCCTAGCTTTAAGTGCATATCAAACTAGAGACACTCCTTAACCATTGTGTTTACGGATGTGACTGTGCATTCATGTATAAGTTGTAATAACCTGGTTAACTACAAATTTTTATAACATAAAGAGAAAAGGATTTACTTAATCATGACTTTTTGCACTTCCAACAATTTAAATTCCGTTCTTTTATAGGCTAATATATTTCATTCTATGGTTTGTTTGGTGCAGCTGAACAATGGAATGGCGGACAATGGCTTTGGAGCTTGCTCAGAACTAATCTTTGCACCAATTGGCCTAACTACTCCTAATGATGCTCCTTATTTATCATGTGGATTTCGAATCATCTTGTTGGGTTCAGATACAGTTGAGTTCCAACATGGCTTTGGTCTGCTGTCACTTTTTTTAGTTTTCTCAATAAACACCTTTTCTTTTACCACACATTTCTTTTTCCTCTGCCTTAATCCCATACTATTTATGTATATAATTCCCCAGGAAAGCAGTAGCTCCCCTATGTCAATGCTGGTTCTGGCGTTTCAGTTTCCTTACGAAACCCAACATCTGGATGAAATTGCAGTTGTGGCTAGTCTATATGTGAAGTATGTTGTTTCCTGTGTGAAAATTATTTCCGGTGAAGTAGCTTACTCAGCATTCTGTCCTAATGTGAACCCTGCTGAAGCAAGTAGTGCCATCATCTCTCGAGAAACATTTTATGCGAACCTAGCTGACGTGATACGCCAAAGCTATAGGTTAGTAAAAGTTGTTGAATTCTCGTTTGTTGTCCATTGGGCATTGTTATCTTATTATCAACTATTGGCATTATGTAAACTTTATAGTTGTCATCAACCGTCAGTACTTCATTTATATTTTGCTTATTGCACTAAATGCAAATGTTCTGTCAGAAGAAAATTGAATTTTATGGGTTCAATATTCCAATTATGTAATGATTAATGAATTTTCTATCGTGATGTATTGGTCCTAGTCTTTCTTGGTCATTATTCAATAACCTGGGAATGTATTTTGTTTTATACAGATCGAGTTTAGGCGTGGATATGGTTGGCTTGAACCTTGGGACTCCTAATTTATTATTTGATCAGATACACCGTCACCATTATGCTATACTTTGTTTCTCGGCCATGGTATGTTTATAATACTTTTTAAACATTAAAGGATGTTCGTGAAGTGCTTATTTAATACTTTAATACAGACAAAATCAAATTCGTATGCTGATTGATTTACTTGCGGTTCGTTATGCTAATATTTGCTGTGCTCTCACGATTGTTTTACATTTTTTTAATTTGGATCTGAGAAATGGAAGCATTACACTGCATTTCTTGGCTCTCACCATTATAATATGCATTTGTTATTTCGTTCTTCATTTTTGCAGAAGGATGTCGAACTGTATCAACGATTAATTACAAGATAGAATCATGATTAATTAATTTAGACTTTTTAGAAGTCTTGGGGTATTCAAATAGTCTTACAAAATCATGAGGTATATAACTTGTTTGAGACTAGGATTTGTTAAGACTTTTTAAGATTTTCTGAGATTTTTAAAGAAAAAACCTTATACGAAATCCCACCTCAAGACTTAAGTTTTCACAGGAATCCTCCAAAATCTGAAAATCTTAAAAAAATCTCAGAAAGTCTCAAAATGTCACTCAAAATGCTTGCACCCTCAAAAGGATGGTGATCGTGTTAAATTTGGTGTTTTTAATTATGAAATATCATTTTATTTTAGTGTAATTAGGAGCATAGCTGTAGATTACTCTCAGTCTTTGGTATGTTATCTATGATCATCTCAAAATTTGACAAATTTTCTCCTCTACTGCTGCAGTATACGACAGTGTGCGAGTACGCCAACCGAACTGCTCTTAACATGCTACAGATGACACCAGGAAATCTACAAATTCTCACTGTGGATAGGTTATTTTATGGCTCTGATTTTTCACTTACTAGTGTGTTCCAGACTATAATGCTGCAGGTATATTTCAGAGTGAATATTTGACAGCTCTAATTTAGATTATTAAAATGACGTTTTAACGTTGAAGAAACCAAAATAAGGATAACTTTGATAAAGATTCCCCCTCCCCACAATTCTTTTATCTTCATAACTTCATCATAATAATAGTTATCATTATTGTTGAGGTAATTTCTTTATTTGTGCAACTTTTTCTGAATTTTCAGGGGTACGTTTTTCTGCCGCCTGGATGCTTTATGTCTGCAATGACTCGTACGGTTTTCTATGAACAAGCTTTGGTGTTGCAGTTGCAGCCTCCAGATGGTTCTTTTAATGGATTTGCATTGGTATTCATGGAATTGTCCTTTATCTAAGAAGTTATTTGAGCTCTCTCTCTGCAGATGCTCTATTTTTGTTTCTTTTTTTTTCTTTTTTTTTTTTCAAAAAAATAAAAATAAAAAATAAATAAAATCATTTAGACAATGGGAGACTTTGTATTGCTCTCTTACTTGGATTTCATTTTGATTAGGTGATTTTTTGACTTGAATCATCCTGAATGGTTTTGATGAGACTACTACATTTATGTGTGTGGATTTTTTAATCATAATATCATACTATTGACTGGTTTGAGACATGGTTTTTTGTTGTCATATTTTTTTTCAACATGTGTATATATATGGAAAAATTCGACCCTATTCGTGTGAGCTATTCTTTTACCGTTGGATTACACAATTCCACGTCTGTATGTGTTGATCCAACAGTAAAAAACGCATGGTAGGCAAGTAGGTAAATTTTACTATATATATATATATATATATAGGAAAGAAATTCTCCATCAAAATGAAAACATTTTAACTATATATATATTCAATTGTAAACATCACCTAAAAAAACTTGCTAGATCAATTAACATCAATGACCGTTAATTCATTCCATGAAAAATTGACTCCATGAAAAATTGACTCGAGTCGTCGGTTTTTTTTTTTCTATTATTATATCAACGCATATTCATTTGAATATATGAATTTGTACACGTTGATTCAACGGTAAAAAAACTCGGTGACTGCACTTCATCGATGAACCAATTGAAGGCAATAACGTTATACTAATATAAACACATTTTTTTCGCCGAAGTTTTGATCCTATTTCAATTATTTACAAAATTAAATTAGGTTTTGAGATTGTCCAAATTGCTTGTTCCCACGTGACCTAATAACAAATTTTGGGAAGCATGAGCAATACGACGTCGTCGAAGTAGTTTGACCGTAGCTCGTTCAAATGCCCACCTCACCTGCAACAACAAACATTGTTAATTGTAAACTCAACCATCCAAAGGGGGGCTCTTTTAGTTTGCTTGCGTCAACTTCTCCTCTTACATCGTCCGATTTTGTTGCAGGTCAAAAAATCATCGTCGTTTGACATAATTCAGGTAATGAACCTCTTACATCATTATTATTTTTTGTGCTCAGGGGTATGAAATAGTGATTCATGTGCAAGTGTACATGGAAATTCTAGCTGGGTTTTTTTTTTTCCGAGAATCTGTTCGTCGTATCTGGGCTGCTGATTTTATGACGTTTTGCTACAAACCCATGTTTTATAATCTTAAGTTATTGTAAAAGATTCAGTCTTTTGTGCATTAATTACTATCTGTATGCATGCACGCTTGAGATTTCTGGTCTTTGTGTGTGTTTCAGTGCTTCCGTAATTTTGATGTGAAGATAGTTTTTATTTTTTTGTTTTTTTTTCGATTGTAGTGTTGTCCTATCCTCTGATATATAAATTGGAGAAAGATGAAACAGAGGCCTAAGGGTGCTCCATCAAGGTCAAACCCATCGAGCGGCGAGACAAAAAATCAAGAAAATAGTACTGGTAGAGTGAATACTACGTTGAAGGACCAAAATTTAGTATTGGCTGCCAAGAGGTCGAGTTTCGTGATATTTGCCTTGTTAGTGCTGGCTGTATACGGGGCTTGGGGAGTGTATCATTATCAATTTGAGCGTTTGCCCATTCCTTTGAGTTCCCAGCAGGTGGGGAAAAGGGGTTTCTCTGAGCATGAGGCCCTTAAACATGTTAAAGCTTTGGCTCGGTTGGGCCCACATCCCGTTGGCTCTGATGCCCTGGAGAGTGCACTGATGGTAATTTGCAAGGGGTCACATTTGTGCATCTTGAATAATAAAGCTGGTGTTGATTTGATTTTCACTGTCGATACATTTTGAGGATTTTTCCATGTTCGTATCTTTTGAAGTAGATACTTAGAAAATATTATTGACTCATTTGATTTCACTTGAGATGTCTCCTCAGGCTAGCTGAGGGCGTATGATTTTTATATTTGTTGATATGTGTGATGGTAAATTGAAAAGGTATCTCTATCGCCTGAGAAAGTGGAACTGGTTGAATTTGCACATTAGAAACTCATTAAAGCCCTATTTTGTCGTCTTGCTTGTTCAGTCAAAGTAATGAGGGAAGCTCCAATTGAAAAATATTGGAAGGGGAAAATATTGAAAGTGGGCATTAGTAATTCCGAAAGATAGTTGACACATTTTATATGCATTTTAGTTTTGTAGTTCCGATTTTTCTTTTCTTTGTCTGAGTGATTCTATGATGCTATGAGTAATTTGGATTCATCTGTTTGGTTGTTCACTCCAAATAGTATGTGAGAGAAGCTGCAGAAAGTATAAAGAAAACAGCTCATTGGGAGGTGGATGTGGAAGTGGATTTGTTCCATGCGAAATCCGGTGCTAACAATTTGGTTGGTGGCCTTTTTAAAGGGAAAACCCATCTTTATGCAGATTTATATCACATTGTACTAAGAATCATGCCCAAATATGGAATTAAAGCCGAAGAAAATTCAATTCTGGTCTCCTCCCACATTGACACCGTCTTTGCAGCGTAAGTTTCCCATTCAATTCTTGTTTTAGTTTATGAATTGTCGGTAATGATTGGAGTGTTCTTATATCAAAGGATTTGGCTGAAGAAGATATTTGCATATATTAAACTGATTTCAGTGTATATATTGTAGGTTGTCTTGTGAAGCAATGATGAGTTTTTTTATTTGGGGTTCAATTTTGTTTGGGAGTAGTAGAAAATAAGTATTGGAGGACAGTTTTAGGCGAAACACAACCCTATCTGAGGGAAATGATTGGTATCCAAGATGCTAAGGCCGTGCAAAAAAAAAAAAGTTAGAAACTTTTTTTTTCCTGGTTAACTATAGTTTATTCGAAAAAAGTTAGTATGGGTAGTAATTAGTGGGATTTTAAGGTTGTATTAAAATAATATTTAAAATCAAATGATTGTAATTGATTTGATGTAAAAGTACGAGATAAATGATTGGAAATGATAGGTAGTTAAATTATGTGAGTGGATGAATAGTGAATTAAAGTTGATGTGATGTATAAGAATGATTGAATGATATTATTTAATCATATATGATAATATTGAGGATAATGGGGTTGAGTTAAAGTTGAGTTAGATTTTGAATTGAGATAATGGGGTTGAGTTAAAGTTGAGTTAGATTTTGAATTGAGATAAATTTTTTTCTAGTTTTTTTTAATAAACAAGCAAAGCCTAAACAAACATGTTCTAATTCTTGTTTTGGCTGCCTTTTTAGGGAAGGAGCTGGTGATTGCAGTTCATGTGTGGCTGTTATGCTTGAGCTTGCTCGAGGAGTTTCTCAATGGGCTCACGGGTTTAAGAACTCGATTATATTTTTATTTAATACTGGAGAGGAGGAAGGTCTGAATGGGGCTCACAGCTTTATCACTCAGGTTTATTATAACAATGAAGATTCTTTCCGTGCAGACGAGTGGTGTTCTATTATATAAAAAAAAAAAACGGGTTTAATATCTTATGATTTCCACAGCACCATAATCAAAAAAATGTTTGATAGTATTTGTTACATTATTGGGATAATCGAAAAGAGTTTTTTTTTTTTTTTTTTTCCTGTCAACTAAATTTTTTATCAGTTTATTTCCTTCTCTGTTAATCCCTCAAGATGCTGAAAATTATATAATTAACATATGAGATTTCTTTTTCTTTGCCCTTTTTTCCTCCCTTGATGTCCAATGGCAGCTTATTGATTTTTCAAGAGTTTCACTTTATTTTCTCAATTTCTTGTCCATAAAATCTGAAATATGGAGTCCAGAAATTTTGGTTTCAAATCCGAACTCCCTTTCCTCCAAAATAACGTTGTTTTTCTTTTCTTTTTTTTTTTTTTTT